CACACACACTAATTTTACTGCTTTGCGACCCTTTTAGTCTAAAATACAAATCTAACAGCGCTGATCGATGTTGTTGGATGCCAAAAAGTTCTTTTATTCTGGTACCATAGTCATTTTAAGATGCAGGAGGATTGTCGGTGGCCTATGATCCGCATGGGACCAAGGGCCCAAGGGCCCAGGTAAGGTAAGGTAAGGTATAGTGATTTTCAGTAGTGACGACTGAAAAAAAGGGCTTGTTTTTAAAGTCCTACAATTTTGTTTGTTCCAGAACCGCATCAGTTCGGGAGAAGACATACCGCGAGTCCCGGCAGAGGTTCTACGGGGCAGGTCGCACCAGCCCCCGCCGGAGGAACCGCCGCCACCCGCTGGTTCTGACCTGTACGTCCGCGAAGCTTCTCGTCTTCTGACAATGCTTACATGATACAGAGATACCTCCTGCCTTCAGCTGGAAGATCCTAGGGATTTCTTAGCGGTTGGTACAAACTGTAAATATACCCGTGACAAGAATTGCGTTTGAAGACAGACAGGAGAAGAAACAGTAGACTTTAATATTCCTCTTTAGACAATGCTTCCTTGATACAGAGATGGCTCCTGCTTTCAGGTGAAACATCATAGGGATTTCTTAGCGTTTGCTACATACTGTGAATATCCCCGTGACGGAAAGGACTACAACGTATTACAAGAATCAAGGAGCTTTAACAAGAATCGCGTTTGAAGACCCACAGGGGAAAGGACCATATCTTAAGAATGGCGTGTTCTTAAGGCATTGAGGTGGCTTTTTTCTTCTTCGGAGCGGAGCCTACCAACCTGGGTCTTTACAAGTTGTAGTATAGATGTGATCGCAACAAAACAAGGGATCGCGCCCGAGTGTAGCGGGAAATACACAAGGAATACTTGACTCGTCTTTCTTCAAGATTTTCCTGGAGGAAAACTGCTCGCCAACACACCTTGTGAGGAATTAGAAGTTTCAAGAAAACACGAATGAGAACTGAAGATTGAAAACGTGTGAAACATTTGCCTCCAACAGCTTCCAACTCGTGGGCTGTGTAAGGAGGTTTCCAGACAACCGTAGCGCCGTTTTAATGGGACGGTTACGAGGCACATAAAGGGTTTTTGAAGTCTCCATGTCTCACCTGTACATTCTCACCTGCCTGTGTCTTGGATCACAAGACGTAAGACAAGGAAAGGGACAAGGTCTTACAGCAGTCGGGAATTCGGAGCTCGCCGAAAATTTCGCCAAGGTGAGTAAAAATAGAGAGTGTAAACTTTAAGATGTTTTTTTAAAGATGGTCCCAGATTCGGTCAAGTGGCCTCCAAGGCCGCGTAGGTGTTTGGTGATTCACCTGATGCTGACTTTATCATGCAGTTTTTGACGTGTATGTCAGCCACGCTGCGTGCAAGACTCGTGGCCTTCTAATGATGAATCTGAAGCACGCAAGTAATGTCTGGTGAAGACAGAAATAAGAGGTTTGGGGTTAAATTTATGTTAGGTGTAGAAGTTTAAGAGTAGAACCAAACAAATAAAAACTCCGACCCACCGTGAAGGGTTAGCTCTAGCCTGTACCAGGCTGCGCAGGCTGCTGTAAAAATGGTAGAAATTGTTCAAGTAGACCGATAGCAGGCAAGACGAGTTAGTCTGCCAACGGAGTACAAAATTTCCCTAGGTTTAACTTACAAAACGTGCTCCTCCGACGTGATATTCAGTCTATTTGGTCAATTTGAACCAGGAGCCTGTTCTAGGCTAGGGTTAAGGTCCGTGCCCACTTGTAAAGCCGCCTGTCCCACGGGCTGCGGCTGCTCAGCGGACCGTTTACTGACAAGATCCGTGCGGGATTAACGGCTTACAGGCCTCGGTACTTAAACCGCTAAACGCTCTGTCCTCACCACCACCACACATAATGCAAGCCTGAGCTTAGTCACCTCACCAGACCACGACAAGGTGGTACATGGACGGCATCCATGGATTTTGTCCTGCTATCAAGCCCACGCTCCTCTGTTTTAGATCTTAATATATTGTGGAGTAAATGGAGGAATGCGCCAGATAGTTAAAAAAAAAGACGTTTTATTACCTCCATGAAATGTGTCATGGAGGTTATATTTTCAGTTGCGTTTATCTGTCCGTCTGTCCGTCTGTCTGTTGGTCAACAAGATAACTCAAGAACGCCTGGATGGATTGGTTTCATACTTGGTGTGTTGGTAGGGTGTGACGAAAACTGGAAATGATGAGATTTTGGTCCCCCTAGTGGCTTCCCTTGGTACTGCAGCGCAACTTCCGGTTTTGATATCTCGCGATCTGGACATGCTAGGGTCATGAAATTTTGATGGAAGGTAGCTCTTGTGCTTGGGAAGAAGTCATATGAGTTTGGGCCCCCTAGCGGCTTGTTCTGGAACTGCAGGGCACTTTCTGGCTAAATGTTTAAAAGCCAATAAGTCCAGACAGGAACAACATATTTTCATTATTTTTGGTGTGTAGGTAGCTGAGAGAGAGATGTACATAATTAAATGCAAATTATGCAAATGAGGACTTCATTTGCATAATTAATGAGGAAATTCTATAATTACAGTGTTTTACATCATACTATGTAACCTATGGCAGGCGGAACTTCAGATACTAATTATGCAAATGATGACCTAATTTGCATAATTAATGTGAAAATTCTATGATTTCGTAATGGTGAATGATGAGAATGTCATACTTGGGACATCTGTAAGTTAATCAAAAGTTAACATACATCACGATGCATATATCATGTTAATGCAGAGGTCATTTGAACAATTAAAGAAGAAATTTACATTTACATATCAAGATCATATTTCATGGAGGTATGAGATCTCGGAATTCTAGTTAGACATCAATCTGCTCAATCGTTTGCTGATTGCTACATTCCGTATTAATTTATGTTTACCTCAGTCTGTAGAAGGAAGACATATTGTCAGAAAAATATGTTTCTTCTTTCTCTCCAAACAAATAAGGTCAATGATCTGAACCAGACGTCTGTCACCATGGTAACTATTATTGGGTTACATCATGTTGCAATTTTACAGCAGGTGGGATTTAGACTCCTGTCACCATATATATAAATGTGTTTATAAAGTAACTCAGCAGACCAGATGCGAAGATAAACATAACGCATTTGCTTAGCAAATGTTACTTTTCCAGTTTTGTTTTTTGTTTTGTAGTTGACTTAGTTGACTTGATCATCTTTGTTTTCCCTCTAGTGACCAATGCCAAGTGACTGAGCCATGCACGTGACCATCCACGTGACCTGATGGCGACTGAGACGATTCTAACCCCGGGGGTGGAGGGGCTGTTCCAGCGGAAACCGTCAAGGTAAACCCGAGGGGGGAGGGGGCGCCTTAGCATTATTTATTAACATTTTGACTGTTATTATTCTATCATGTTCTTGCAATTAGCCCTCGGGCATGGAATTGCAATAAACTTATTTCATGTGCCTGTAACCCACCAATATGGCGGACTCCGAATGACGTCATGGCTTAAATGACGTCATACATAACCACGTGACCGTAAACAGCCAATCCCGTCCGCCCCCCGCAGTGCTGCGATCCTGTCGGACCCTCGCGTGTTGGCACACCTGCAGCAGCTGCGTGACAGCGCGCAGCCCAACGGGCACCTCATGTTGTGTTTCATTTCTGTTCAGTGTCCCTACTCCATGCATACGCCATGTATCTACCCTGGTTGTTTCTTCTTTGCCATACAGTGTACCAGTTACAGTTGTTGAGCAATAAAGTTATTATGTTTACCGAAGGAAAACATATTGTTTTTGCTCCGTTTCTTCCTCTTCTTCTTCTTCTCCAAACAGTGACCCCTGACCTGACCAATGACATGATTTGTTGACGTCTGTCACCATGGTGACTGGTGTTGGATTACATAATGTTGCAATTTCATGGTCTGCTCTGCTCCTGTCACCTTATACTAGTAGTACATGTATGTGAATGTGTTTGAGTAAAAATTAACAGAGCAGACCATGTCCGAAGGTAAACATTATGTATTTGCTTTGTAAATGTTACTTCTCTAGTTTTGATTTGATTTTTTTTCCCGCAGTGCTGCGATCCTGTCGGACCCTCGCGTGTTGGCGCACCTGCAGCAGCTGCATGACACCGCACAGGCCAACGGGCACCTGCTCGGCCATGACGACGCCCCGGACCGCGACACTCTGCCGGAGACCGTCGCTAACTACAACCGCAGGAACCCCATGGAGGCGTTCAAAGTCGTCCTCAAAAACGTGAGTTTCTTCTAAGTTTTTTTTCTCTTTCTCTTCTTCTTCAAACAAGTAAGGTCGAGGACCTGAACCGTAAGGCTGTCACCATGGTAACTGAGGTGTTAGGTTACATTTACTACAACATTCAAGGTCGTCCTCAAAAACGTTTCTTCCAAGTTCTTCTTCTTTTTCTTCTTCTTTTTCTTCTTCTTTTTCTCCTTCTCTTCTTCAAACAAATTAGTGGAGAGACGGTCAATTTCGTCTTCTTCTTCTTCAAACAAAATGGTCTGTCCTATTATATTTTTGTCTGTTTCTTCCTCTTCTTCTTCAAATAAGTAAGGTCAATGACCTGAACCGTAAGGCTGTCACCATGGTAACTGAGGTGTTGGGTTACATTTATTAAAACCGCAGGAACCCCGTGGAGGCCCTCAAAAACGTAAATCTCTCCGGCGATACTCCTGACTCTCTAGGCGATTCGATAATGGAGTGGTTTAGTCTTGTCAAAAGAGCCTCCTTGCGTTCCATGAAGGAATCGCATCAAAATGCTCGCGATCGTTTTTTGATCTCAGCGTTTTGAGTTCAAACAGCGGTTGCTTGGAGGAGTTGGAGTTGTGAGTTTTCATCCCGCGGTGGGCAGTTTTGTCACGTCTACAGGAAAAGTAGGGAGATAAACAAACAAACAAACAAACAAACAAACAGATTGTTTAGTTTAGGGAGGTGTGTAACTGTTGCTAGGGTAGTACTTTTCTTTACGTTTTGTCTCTACATATTTTTGCATCGTGCATCATATAACAGTATTGAAAAATCAAGGATCAGATGAGTCCAATTTTGGTAGTAAATAAGCGATCCTCGGGGAAAAGCAGAATTCCAAAGTAAGAGAACTTCCATCAACTGTTATCGGAATAATTACATGTCTTCAATGCGCCTTTTGACAAATGTAAGTGAGAATCTTGTCCATTTCTAAAAATAGAAGATGCCGGGCAACTAATTTCCTTTTGAACATCTTACAGATACGAAGGTGCTTTCAAGCATCACACTTAGAGAATCTTCAGTTTTGGGAGCTGTAAATGCAGCCAGATTCATTTTTTTCTCCTTTCCTTTATAAATGTTGTATCACAAAGACCTAACCACTAGAGTATGTGACCTGTGGTCGACGAGACGAATTTCGCAGATAAAGAATGGATTGTTTTTACGTTTTGTTTCTCAGATCTACGTTTTGTCCCTTTTGAAGGACCGTCTAATGAGGATTAGCTTATCTCTCCGAGTGGGTAAACATCATGCGGTTGTTGTTGTGGAGGACCGAAGGTTTGTTTCCTCCGGTGTTTATACTCACCTTCCTGTGCACCTGGTGACGCAGGTACGCCCATTCACACCTGCCCTACTTGTCTCACCTGTCCATTAGCACAGGCGTTTCCCGGTTACCTGTGCGGGACGTGTACCTGGGAGGACGTCGGGGCCGTATCCAGAACCGTGTTTTTATCCAGAACCGTGCTTGGCCAGAGCTGTGCTTTATCCAGAACCGTGTGTGTTATCCAGAACCGTGCTTTATCCAGAACCGTGTGTTAGCCAGAACCGTGCTTTACTGGTTTATACATGGTTTATCGTGCGATATCCAGAACCGTGTTTTATCCAGAACCGTGCTTTATCCAGAACCATGCTTTATCCAGAACCGGGTGTGTTATCCAGAACCACGTGTTTTATCCAGAATCGCGTGTTTTATCCAGAACCGTGTTTTATCCAGAACCACGTGTTTTATCCAGCACCGTGCTTTATCCAGAACCGTGCTTTATCCAGAACCGTGCTTTATACAGAACTGTGCTTTATACAGAACCGTGCTTTATCCAGAACCGTGCTTTATCCAGAAGCGTGCTTTATCCAGAACCGTGCTTAATCCAGAACCGTGCTTAATCCAGAACCGTGCTTTATCCAGAACCATGCTTTATCCAGAACCGTGCTTTATCCAGAACCGTGCTTTATACAGAACTGTGCTTTATACAGAACCGTGCTTTATCCAGAACCGTGCTTTATCCAGAAGCGTGCTTTATCCAGAACCGTGCTTAATCCAGAACCGTGCTTAATCCAGAACCGTGCTTTATCCAGAACCATGCTTTATCCAGAACCGTGCTTTATCCAGACCCGTGCTCAGACACTGGATAGCCCACGAAGCGTATCCAGAACTTGCCTGGGGCAAATCTACATTCTAGCCCGGATACGCGGAGACTATCCAGAACCGTGCCAGATCCTAACCCTAACCATGATAGGCATTCTCATTCCATACTACATAGTCGTTGTAAAGCAGATTACCCTCGTAGCATGTTTACCATAGCAATAGATGCCATACTTGTACTTTGTCGTGTAATAAAGTTTACATACCGTTTATCAGCCCCCCATATTTTGTACATTGTACAATTTTTGGGTTATAAACTTTGCATACTGTATACTAACTCACCCAGGCCCCCATAGTTTGTACATTGTACGATTCTTGTGTAGTAACGCACATACCGTATCCCAGACATGTAGTTTGTACCTTGTACAATTGTTCGGTGTGATAAACTTTACATAACGTATCCCGTCCCCTTCCCACCATACTTTAACAATCGGTGTGTACATGCCGTACGTGTATCCTGACTCACCCCCCCCCCCCCCATTATTTACCCCAGTCGGTGACAGGTAAACTCACGTGGCCCGGTCACTCCTTGTCAGCCCCACCAGTACTTTGATTTCGGTGTTCCCTTTGTGCTGCTTGTGTAGTGACCAAATACGCGGTGTTCAGTTCTCCTCGCCAAACATTCGCGCCCATTCACGGACCAGAAACCCTATCCGCAGCGGCAATGTTGTCGCCCTAACGGTGGGAGTCGGGCGGTTTTCGGGCGGTTTTAGAGTACCTCCAGGATTTCTGGAAGACCTTGCGACTTTACTGACGTGCTGGGATTTCTACTCACGAACTGAGGTAAGCTTGGCCCGTACTGTAGTCTTGTAGGTTCCTGCCTGGTCCCTAAACCTGCAGCGGCAATGTTGTCCACCTAACGGTGAGACTCGGACGGTTTTCGGGCGGTTGTAGGAAGACTGAGTATCTTCAGGATTCATTTGGGATTTCTGGCAGGCCTTGCGACTTTCCTGACGTGCTGGGATTTAAAAGCTGAGGTAAGCCTAACTCGTACCGTAGTCTTGTAGGTTCCTACCTGGTCCCTAACCCGCAAACATTGCTCTACAACACGTCTCAGACGCGTTACGACGTCTCACGAAGATTTCCAAACGACTCTAAACTCTTTCCGACCGAGGTGAGTGTTCCAAAAAGCCTTACCGTCGGCTGTGTTGTATCCATAACCGTGCTCAATCCAGAACCATGCACGTTAACGGCTCAGGATAGCCCACACGTATCCAGAACCGTGCCTGGAACAAATCGTACGTTCTTGGATACGCGAAGACTACATACCCAGAACTGTACCTGATCCTAACCTAACCCTAACCCAGTAAGATGTAGAACTATATAGACACGGTTCTGGGTACGATAGGCCTTACGTATACTCTAGCTGGAAGAACGCAGGGGTTTCCTCTGTCTAAGTGGACGTAAACAAACCGGGAAGAGTCCGTGAAGAACACAGCACCTTAGCGGCTTGAGTGGCTGTGACCGGCTGAGTAACAAGATATGTGTTTGCAATACTTTCACGGTCGCGTTTTTTTTCCTGGGTGAACATAGTGTGTCCTATAGCTAGGCTAAGTGTACATATCCTGCAGTTCATACCAGTACTACTGTGAGATTTTACGCAAAGAAAAAACGTGTTCTAGAGACATACCAAACACCTGTAGGAACATAGCAACATTGAGTGACTCGAGTAGCTGTGACCAGCCGAGTAACAAGATATCAATTTGCAACACTTTCACGGTCGCGTTTTTCCTGGGTGAACATAATGTGTGTATCCTTCAGTTCCTACCAGTACTATGGTTACCTTTTTACTATGGTTTGAATCTTAGTATGCCAAAAATGCAATAAAATATTTTGTAGACGAACAGGCTTGTGGGTGTAACAATAAACGTTTCAAATAAACAAGCCTAAGGTATAGTAGTAGCGTACACACTGGTCTTACGTGTGATCGCTGCATCACCCTTTTCCCAGGTTAACATAACGTCTGTATCTCAAACCCACAAGTCCCTGTCCTGCCGTTCCTACTAGTGCTACTTTGAGGTTTTACGTCAAGAAAAAAATGTTCTAGAGACACTACAACCACCTGTAGGCATCCAGTAGCACCGAGTAACAAGATCTCTGCAACATTTTCTCGGTCGCGTTTTTGACTGAACATAACCTGTGTATCTCAAAATTATAACCCCCCCCCCATCCCCTGCAGTTCCTACTTATGCTACTTTGACGTTTTACGTTAAGAAAAAGGGTGTTTTAGGGACATAAAGAACCACCTGTAGGCCCTCAGCCACGGTAGCTTACGAGTCGGCAGTGTTTTTGTTATTGATTCTTCTCGGGAAAGATCGGTTGTACTGCCGTGTTTGTTCTGGAGTTAAGCCCGCGGCTTCTCTGTTTAGACGGGCCGGGCGAGAAAAACTGATTTAGCTATACGTGACGTGCCCCCCTCCCCACCGATGCGTTTATCAAACTTTTGGCAAATTTTACATTGGTTCATACTTTTCTTCGTATTAGACAAATTTAGCAAAATTATTGGCGTTAGTATATAACAATAAAACGTTTCAAATAAACAAACACAAAGACAAGAAACTGATTTCCCTGCGTGCCCCCCTCCCCACCGATCTCAGGTGGGGTTAGTAGTCAAATTTTACTTTGGTTTAAATCTTTGTGTAAGAAAAATGCAGCAAAATTATTGGCGTGAGGGTGTAACAATAAACGTTTCAAATATACAAACTCATGGACGTGCCCTCCTCCCCACCGAACTCAGGTTGGGTTACTTAAATGTTGGTCAAATTTTGCTTTGGTTTAAATCTTCGTATGAGAAAGATAAATTTAGAAAAATTATTGGCGTGAGAGTGTAGCAATAAACGTTTCAAATAAGCAAACA